TTGGATAGAGCTCTGGCCTCACCGTGTTGGTCTGCTCTGTTTCCCTTCGCATATGTCGAGCACCTCACAGCTGCAAAGTCGGATCATTGCCCAATTCTTCTGGAGACCGAGCTGATTGATACAAGTATCCACGCAAAACAAAAACAGTTCCGTTATGAATGCATGTGGGAAAGAGACCCAAGATTTGGAGGGGTGGTACTCGATGCCTGGAATAATGCGGGGCGGGCCCAGAGTGTTCCTGCGCTCTCCCATAAGCTGACTGTGGTGGCTGAGAAGTTACAGAGCTGGGGCCGAGCGTCTTTTGGCGCGGTGCGATCTGAACTGCGTCATCTCCGCACACATTTGGAGGAGCTGCGTTTACTACCTGGCCGCGTGGGGCCGTCAGCTGAGGAAGACAGGGTCGAAGCCCGTATGGTCGAGCTCTGTTTACGGGAGGAGATTATGTGGCGTCAGAGGGCGCGTATTCAGTGGTTAGCAGAAGGAGACAGTAACACAAAATTTTTTCATCGCAAAGCTAGCGCCCGGAAGGCAAAGAACCGGATTGTTGAGCTGCAGCGACCCGATGGAACCATGTGTAAGGAGGAACATGAGATGGCTGGCATGGCTACCTCTTTCTATAGTAATCTTTACGCCTCTGAACCCACGGTTGGCATTGAGGAGGTCCTTTCCCATATACCGACCAGGGTAGATGCACCTATGAACATAACTCTGGATGCACAGTATAGTAAGATAGAGGTGAAAGAGGCCTTGTTCCAGATGTTTCCGACAAAGGCCCCAGGGCCAGACGGTTTCCCGGCACATTTCTTTCAGAGACACTGGGAGCTCTGTGGTGATGAGGTTACTGAGATGGTGCTTCGAGTTCTTACTGGAGAAGATTCTCCGGAGGAGATAAACAAGACGTTCATCGTTCTAATACCCAAGATTGCTAGCCCGAAAAATTTGGCACAGTTTCGACCGATAAGCCTCTGCAATGTGATCTTTAAGATTGCATCAAAGGTGTTGGCTAATCGACTCAAACTTATTCTCCCCGATATCATCTCCGAGGAACAGTCAGCATTTGTTCCAGGGCGTCTCATTACGGACAATTTTATATCTGCTTATGAGTGTCTCCACTATATGAAATCCAGGAAGCTCAAGAGTAACAGGTTCTGTGCCTTGAAGCTGGATATGATGAAAGCCTACGATCGGCTCGAGTGGAACTATCTAGAGAAGGTTATGCTCAAGTTGGGCATCAGCCCACAGTTCACGCAAACAGTAATGAGGTGTGTATCCTCGGTATCCTTCTCTGTTATCTTTAATGGTGGTAAGCAAGAGGAGTTTAGACCCTCTCGTGGACTCAGGCAGGGTGATCCCATATCGCCATATCTTTTTCTATTGGCCGCCGAAGGTCTCTCTTGCCTTCTGAGATCCACAACGCCAGGTGAGAGCATCAATGGTATAACAGTGGCACCGGGTGCCCCACAGGTAAACCACCTTCTCTTTGCAGACGATAGCCTGCTATTCTTTGATGCCACAGCTGATATGGCCAACAGAGTTGAGAATCTTTTGCATAAGTATTGCATAGCTTCAGGGCAACGCATCAACAAGGAGAAGTCCTCAATATTTTTTAGTAAAGGCTGTTCGGAAGGAGTCAGACACGAAATCAAACTCATCCTTTCAGTCCAGAATGAGAAATTGTCTGAAAAGTATCTTGGCCTCCCGGCGGACGTTGGCAGAGCAAAGGAAGGATCCTTTAAGTATCTTAAAGACAGGATATGGAAGCAGGTGCAGGGTTGGATGGAGAAGGCACTTTCTGTGGGAGGGAAGGAGGTGCTTATCAAGTCAGTTGCGCAAGCGATTCCGACGTACTCAATGGCATGCTTCAAGTTACCACGAGGCTTGTGTCAGCATATAAATGGCCTCTTGAGGAAATTCTGGTGGGGATCCAAAAAGGGCGAGAGGAAGACAGCGTGGGTTTCTTGGGATGTGATGACACAGCCGAAGTTTATGGGAGGTATGGGGTTTCGTGATATCGAGCTTTTTAATCTTGCTTTGCTGGCCAGACAGGCCTGGCGGTTACTCCAGGAACCAAACTCTCTCAGTGCACGCATCCTCAAGGCTGTGTACTACCCTTCGGTTTCGATCCTTGACGCTGAGCTGGGGAATAACCCGTCACAGGTCTGGCGCTCTTTGGTTGAAGGCAGAGATACGCTCAAGCTAGGGCTGATAAAACGGATTGGATCCGGAGCGGAAACAAATATTTGGACGGATCACTGGATACCACGTGATTTTAAGCTGCGGCCGGTGTGCCCGAAAACTTTGAACCCACCGCAACTTGTCTCGGACCTCATTAACCCGGTCACTTTTGCATGGGATATAGAGACTTTGGATGAACATCTGTACCCAATGGACAAGGAGGCAATCCTCAATATCCCGCTTAGCTCTCGAGTTCGCCAAGATTTCTGGTCATGGCATTATGAACGAAGGGGTGTTTTCACAGTGCGTTCGGCTTACAAACTTCTGTCCGCCACCAAGCAGCAACGCATGGACTGGCTCAAGCACAAGGATGGGCACTCGCAGATTGAAGCAGATCGTGGATCCTGGGCGAAACTCTGGGGAGCTGCAGTCCCTGCTAAAGTTCGCGTTTTCGCTTGGAGACTGGCCAAATGCTCAATTCCTACAGGTGAGGTTCGACAGCATAGAAGCATGGCCGTCTCGGCGGAGTGCTCGCTCTGTCATGCGGCGGTGGATACGTGGCGCCACTCTCTTTTTGACTGCCGCATGGCGCGTTGTGTGTGGGCTCTTGCTGATGAGGACCTCACGGATACAATCATCTCTAACAGAACGGAAGATCCAAAGCTCTGGCTGCTGTGGCTGGTAGATACTTTAAACACCGATGATCTGGCCCGTGCCCTTGTTACTATGTGGGCCATCTGGTGGGCGCGGCGCCGAGCCATAGATGATGACCAGTTTCAGAGCCCGTTATCCACTCATATCTTCGTAAACAAGTACCTGGCAGAGCTAGAGATGTTGCCAAAGAAGGGTACGCAGCAAAAGGCGCGAGCTGCACACCCCAGGGACCTGCATGTGAAGGCCAGGGATCTGCATGTAAATACAGGACTACGAGTGGCGCCGGCGGCAGGGATCGGATGGCTCCCACCCGAGAGCCATGATTTCAAAATCAATGTCGATGGCGGCTTTTCCAAGATAGGAGATCGGGCTACCTCAGCTGCTGTATGCAGGGACAAGGGGGGCAAGTACATTGGAGCATCGGCGATCATCTATGAGGGCCGCCTCAATCCGACAATCCTTGAAGCCGAAGCATGCAGCAAAGCTCTCTCACTTGCTGCCGATCTTCATCTCCGGTCCGTTTGTGTTGCTACTGACTGCCTTGAGGTTGTAACGAACTTACGGGAGGAAGCTCCATGCGGATACTACCCTATCTTACAGGATATAAAGTATCAAAGTAGGCTTTTCAGTGACCTCAGTTTTATTCATGAAAATAGAAAGTACAATGGTGAGGCCCATGCCTTGGCAAGGGCAGCTGCTTCTCTTAGTCCCAGGCGCCATGTGTGGCTTAGCATTATGCCCGATATCATCTGTATCCCATTATGTTTGAACCTTCAATAAAAGGGTGCGGATTGCTCAAAAAAAAACGTAGGATGACAAGAGATGCTCAAAAAAAAAACGTAGGATGACAAGTTTGTCTAAAAAAACGTAACGCGGCTCACGTAGCATGACAAGTTTGTCTAAAAAAACGTAGTCGCGCCCGCAGTCCATGGGGCAACGGAGGGCAAAAGGAGAATTTCCTATGTGGCACCTAGAGCGCCGGTTAAAGGCCACTGAAAAGATCAGCGCACACAGTAACCTTCATCGTGCTAACATTCTCTGTTTCCTTCAAAAAATGTTGCGGGGGGTGAGATTCGAATTCGGAACCTCTTTGTTTCCTTCGCATTAACCAACTCAGACGGCTAACCTGCTATGCTTACTAATAGTACTTATGTTTCTTCTTATTTCTAGGCCTTCCGGACTATGTTTTTTTCTATTTGTTTGTCGGGTTTTCATCGGGGTTTTATTTTCTGTTTGCTGCTTTCTTTTTTCATGTTACCTTTTCTTTTCTTTTTTCCTTTTTACAAATACATGAACACCTTCACATTTTAAACTTCATTCAAATCATGAACTTTTTGAAATCTGTGAACACTTTTCATTTTGTGACTGTTTTCAAAATTTGTGAACCTTTTTCAAATTGGTGAACTCAAAACTGATGAATTTTTTAAAATTCATGAACTTATTATTGAATTCGTCAACATTTTTTACAAATCAATGAAGTTTTTTAAATCTCATGATATTTTTTCAATTTTGTGACTATCTTAAATTTGTGAACTGTTCTCAAGAGTCAATGGTCAACGATCATTCGTGAAGGGTCCCAACAGCTAGCGGTCAACCGGTCCACCTGTTTGTTGTGAGCAGTCAAAATGTCTAGCAAGTCTCGACCGATTGAAGTCAGTGATCGATCAACAAAACAGGTGCACCGAAGCTAATGGCCTTAATAGATGCGGCCCAGTCAGTTGGCTAGCGGCTCATCTCTTGGACAACAGATTGCTCAAAAAAAAAAATCTCTTGGACAACATATTTATAACCTTGCCATAATCTTTTATATAAAATGCAAACTAATACTCCCTCCATCATGAATTAGTTGTCTAATATTTGTTTAGATACGGATGTATCTAGACACGTTTTAGTGTTCGGTACATCTGTATCTAGACAAATTTTAGACAACTACTTTGGGACAGAGGGAGTATATGCCAACTGTAAATCTAAGGACGAAAATAAGTATATAGATAGGAAATTTATATCTCGAGATCTCGAATCTATACAAAATAGAAAATAATAAATAAATTATTTGCCAACCACAAATGGTTACCAGCCACCACCTACCATCCGACGCAAAATAATAAATTATTTCTAGAATGTGTAGTATTGGTGAGTCTATATATATGTGCCTTTCTAAAAACAAAATCATGCAAAAGCTTGGCTTTAGAAATTTCCTCACAATACTTTTCGTTGAGCGCAATACCTGTTGCAAAATGCATCAGGCTATGCGCCTTCCACAGTTTATGGTATTCTTGTTTGTTTGGTCATCCCAAGTCGGTGCAATATCGTCGTCGCATGGCGCATATGATGAGAATACGAATCAAATGAGGCAACAATCACCCTGGAATAGTAGCTGGCTACCCAGAAAAGCTACAACTAACAGTGGCGTCAACCATGTAAGTAAAAGGCTGTCTATGTTCATTGCTAGATTTGATGCATCACATGTATTTCCTCCGTTGCTAAATATAAGTTTTTTTAGACATTTTAAATGAACTGCAACATACAATTGTATGTAGATATATTTTAAGTGTAGATTTACTCATATTGCTCCGTATGTAGTCATCTGTTAGAATATCTAGAAAGACTTATATTTGTGGACAGAGGAAGTACATGTGATCCAATTACTTATCACACAAGGGAAACTCTTCCAACCTTGTATTGACTTCATCAATCACATAATTTATTTTGATTTACAAACAAATGGGAAGCTGGTCTTTGCGTAATTTTATTTGTTTTGGTCGTATAGCTGATATTTTCTTTTTTGCGAAAGGCATTCTCTTTCATTTGCTACTCTTCCTGCTGTCCGTACAGGGTTGTTTGTTCTCCATTAAAACTACTATCTCTATCTCCGTAATTGGGTTGACCGGATCCTTTCGTTGGTCCCGGCGGCCCGATTCCAGAACACATGTATGCATGCACTAGTTTTACACATAACCACGTCTGATCCATTCCTTGTCTAATCAGATTAAAAAAAGGGTTAATAACGCCGCTGCAATCAGCACAAAGCAGAAAATGATTCTCAAATTTCACTGGATTCGCAAGGTACATCTAGAATGAGAAGCACTGCATATGGTCAGTAAGATGCAACACAAAATTCAAAACTAGGAAATAAGAGATGGCTGCCCCTAATTTTTTGCCCGCGGAGAAGGAATTTCTCACTGATTATGGAATATTTAATCGCCTTTCTTAATAATTAAGTGGGTGAACAAGCAAATGCTAAAATAAATTAAATTAAATGCTAAAAGTCTTTTTTCTTTCAAGAGTACGCGAAACACGTGCCATGTTTTTATAGAAGGCAGAAGATAATTACAAAAGACTACTTCTCGCTGCGAACAACAAGTGTAGCATGAACTCCACGCACAAGCTTATCCAAAGACAAGCTACCTCAAATGCTACAACCACAACACAAAGGAACTTGCCCTAAACAGAACAACTAAGCCTAGTCGATCCCGAGAAAAGCCACTGCCTTGGACTCAAATAAATTAACTCAAATGCTAAAAATCTCCCCTAAAAAATTGCTAAAAATCTAACATCAGATTCTCAGG